TATTGACACCTCACACTGTTGTGAATGAGCACGGACGCGAGATTTACTAGAGTATTAAATGCAAAACGCAAATTCAAAATAAAACTTGACAAGTCATCGTCAATCCCCTTATTCTTGGGCAGGGTCTGACGATGTGAATCTGATTTTGATCAGTGAACGGGCCCCATATGGTACATTTTCTCACTATGAACATGTCATTTCCAGCCTATCTGAACTATTTAATAAATGGAAACCATAACATGGGTTACGCTTCCCCTAAACGGGCCCTCCGCATCCTATCTCTGTCTTATCTCAAATGCCAATGCTTTGAATGTATCAATATATACATTGGAAATGACGTTCAATCAAATAAACCCATACCCCACTCACTTGGCCAGGCTTCAGAATCGTCCAGTGGGCAGTGCGCTCTACACTCCAAGTCCCCTTTCTTTCAAATTCACCCCAAATTTGATATTTACCCCTTTGAGTGTTGAATAATCACAATGAAACATTGTGACAGAGCACGGACTTGAGGTTACTAGAGTATTAAATAATCTAGGTCCTATTTAGGATTATATCTGAAAAATCCAAATTTGGCCAACGCCCACGAAATGCCAATGGTTTTAATGTATAAATATATAAATTGGAAATCACGTTCAATCAAATAAACCCATACCCCACTCACTTGGCCAGGCTTCAGAATCGTTCAGTGGGCAGTGAGCTCTACACTCCAAGTTCCCTTTCTTTCAAATTCACCCCAAATTTGATATTTTACCCCTTTGAGTGTTGATCAGCGTTGGAAAAAAATCGCGATATTTCACGAAGTTCACCAAGGGAAAAGTTCGCGAGTCATGGTGAGTTTTGGTGAACTTTTCCAACACTGGTGTTGATTAATCACAATGAAACATTGTGACAGAGCACGGACTTGAGGTTACTAAAGTATTAAAAAATCTAGGTCCTATTTAGGATTATATCTGAAAAATCCAAATTCGGCCAACGCCTACAAAAAAAAAGTCAAATACGCCATATTGAAATAAACGCCAACATTTACCCTACTATTTGAGATATTTGAGCTTTTAGCCTAGTATACAGATCGAAGCGAAACGAAATTTGAAGCACGCGAAAAATCATGAAATTACGCTAGCGAAAAAGGTTGTGAAAAAATGTTTGTGGAACATTTTCCAGTTTCCTTTTTTCGCAGTGTGAAACGAAATCGGTCAGTTTACACCTCCGGTGAAGTGAAATTCTGACAGATAGGGTTAACTACCTCATTTCCGGCCTATTAAGCACAACCCTCACTTAGTCTTTCTTAATCTAGCGCAGTTTAGCACAATACAGAATGTTATTATTACTGATGACTTCCAAATTTATTTACCTTTCCGTACGTACCGCAAGATTTGATAAAGAGAAACCAATCGTTGAGATATTGCCAAAAGTCTAACACTACTTCTTGATGCCAAACTTGGCCTACGGATTCTGAATTCGGCCTAACGCATTGAAACGCCATTGAAACGCCAATGAATTCATTTCGGCCTATCGGATGAAGATAAAAATGGATTCGGTCGGAGCGCTTCTTTTGTTTTTGGGAATAATGGGTTCAAACCTTCATATCACGCGTTCTCATTTACTTATTTCGGTAGCTTATTAACTAAAGTAGTGTACCAAACGCGTAATTGACTTGTTAACTCGGAAATCATGGATTTATTTGATGTTTTCTGCTCGATAGGCCCAAAATGGGCGATTAGGCCGAAGTAGTTCTCTACCCTACGCTCTTTCTCGAAACGTCAACTTTTCGCTTACCTGCTGTTCTTTTCGCTAGCGCTGCATGCGCGAAAAAAAATGAACGTAAGCGAAAAAGATACGATCCACAAAATAAGATTTCGCTGGATCGTATCTGTTTAAGCCTAGTATACAGATCGAAGCGAAACGAAAATTGAAGCACGCGAAAAATCATGAAATTTCGCTAGCGAAAAAGGTTGTGAAAAAATGTTTGTGGAACATTTTCCAGTTTCCTTTTTTCGCAGTTTATAGTTCATGTGAAACGAAATCGATCAGTTTACACCTCCGGTGAAGTGAAAATCTGACAGATACGCTCTCCCGAAACGTCAACTTTTCGCTTAGCTGCTGCTCTTTTCGCAAGCGCTGCATGCGCGAAAAAAAATAAACGTAAGCGAAAAAGATGCGATCCACAAAATTAGATTTCGCTGGATCGTATCTGTTTACAGTTCAAAGCGAAGCGAAATATTTGCCAATTGCGTTTTTCGCGCAGGTGAAAAATGTAGTATTTTGTATGAGATTTTCGCTTCGCTTAGATCTCTATACAGGCCTTTTATCACTATTTTGGTATTTTACGACCGCACGTACGTAGTGATGTTCAACTTTAACGGAGACTTCCGTCAGTGGGCAGTGAGCTCTACACTCCAAGTTCCCTTTCTTTCAAATTCACCCCAAATTTGATGTTTTACCCCTTTGAGTGTTGATCAGCGTTGGAAAAAAAATCGCGATATTTCACGAAGTTCACCAAGGGAAAAGTTCGCGAGTCATGGTGAGTTTTGGTGAACTTTTCCAACACTGGTGTTGATTAATCACAATGAAACATTGTGACAGAGCACGGACTTGAGGTTACTAAAGTATTAAAAAATCTAGGTCCTATTTAGGATTATATCTGAAAAATCCAAATTCGGCCAACGCCTACAAAAAAAAGTCAAATACGCCATATTGAAATAAAAATGGCAAAATCCAAAATGGTCGATTTAAAAAAATATGAATGATTGCCCACAACAAAGAATAATGCGAAGTTTCATGCAAATCGGAGAAGGTCGAGTTTTTCCGATTCGTCATTTGGTTGCCAAAACATGTTATCAAGAACGTTTATATATTTTTTCATTCTCTGCTTGGGTACTGTTTGAGGGTAATTTTTTTTTTAAATAAAATTTGTGCTTTATGGATAGTTATTAAAGTTCACTACCTAACACTACACGACTTGTCGATTTGCGTCTAAAAAGTTGTCACTCATAATTGCTCCAGTCACGTGACCGCTAAGTGACAAAAAAGCCACAGAAGAGTAACAAAAAACTAATGGTCATAATCGCTCCAGTCACGTGATTCGTCACCTAGTGACAAAAAAGTGACTCAAATTACACTCTTAATCGCTCCAGTCACGTGAAGTGACGGTGATAATATACCCTAAGATATACTTTGGTGCAATAAGATCACTGAAAAGCGCATGGATTTCGTAGAACATTACAAAATAGTTTTCAAAAAGGGGGCTGCCAAAACTGTACTGCAACTCTTGGCAAGTTTGCTTCTTATGTAATGGGACAACCCGTTTGACAATTTTTCCAAACTTTTCCAGAACAAAGTTGATGAGTTCATTTAGTATCATGAAAATATGACTGATTACCCGTGCAAAGCTGGAGATCAAATTGAAATCAAAATTTTCTGTTATGATGTAACTTATTTTGAATACTCCAGTTGATCTCATTTTGGTTGACTTAACGGTTAACACAGCATAAATGAAATCAAAATGTTACACTGTTAAATCAAACAGAAAACTAATCTTGCTTTCAGTGAAATCAATTTGATTTCTGATTTTGCATTCATAATGTTTAACTGAATACGGCCCTGGCGTAAATGGTTAGCATCCATGCTTCACACGCTGAAAGACTTGAATTCAAACGAATGACCTGAAATGTGTTCAACAAAACAATAAATTAAACAATAATGGTTAGTTCAATTTTAATCAAGACGTTAACAGCAGAACTTGAAGTTAAGCTGCTTTCATTTAAAAAAAACTGAAAGCACTATATGTAACACTAGTATATAGCATATTTGAACTTTGTACGCTGGTGGTCATTTTCCATGTAAAATCGTGGGCTGAATCCAAAAATGTAGTCAGAAAAAAAAACTCCAAAAATGTAGTCAGGTATCACTTTGCTGAATCCAATAACGCACAGCCCTATCAACGCAGAACGTTCAACGGCTGCCATAACACGGTTTTCGGTACGATGGTTCATTTGGCTGGTTGTTCGTGATTCACGAATCGAGATTCTGTTTGCGATTCTCCATGCGAATGGTAGCAATTTTCATCGAGGGATTTGTTCATGACAGGATAGTTTTCTCTATAATGCTAATTGATATAGTTAGAGATGAACTAGCCTAAGGCTAAAAATCTCTTAAATAAAGAATTAAAAAAAAAAATAAATTGATATAGCTATATTACAGCCGGAGATATTTGTATTTTAGAAAACAAACTTTTCTTAAGTGAAATATCGTTTTTCAGCAGTATCTAGAAAACTATCCTACTGACATTTTTTTGACTACATTTTTTAATTCAGCGCACGATTTCACATTAGGTCAAACATTGAAGTTAATTTTTTAATACTATTATTTGTAAACTAGTGTAATCAGACTTATTTCATGACAATTCAATCAAAATGAGTTTTGATTGTGATAAGACCTGTAAACTTTAATAACGTTTTGCTTTCAAATTGTTAATGACTTTGCTCGGGTAACTATCTCCATTAAAAATCAGTTTTGACAAAAAACGAAAATGGGACCGACTTGCGATGAGCGGCAGCTGTAGTACTAACGAACATGCATTGGAAATTACTCTCCCTACCAACCGAATTTGCCCTGAGTGGAACAATATTTTTCTTTTCTGCAATTTATTTCGCTATTTTTTCTTAAATCTCTTTTAGAATATTGTCCCAAAACTGCTCGAATCTGTTATGAATTACATTGACACTGATTGATCCTTCCATGGAACAAAAACAAACCAGATTAACAAATTATCAACATGACTGTCATCGTGCCGGAAAATTGGCCATTTTGACGAATGGTCATTCTTCTCAGTTGACGAATGAATGGTCATTCTCTCTATAAGCGTAAACTGGATTGCCTACTACGTCATTTGTGTACACCATTATTCTGTGTTTAATTTCTGCTATCTCCGTGCTTTGTTTTTCGAATTAAAACATTTCTATAATTGTATTTATTTTTCTTTCTTTTCATCCTTATAGATATAGTTTCACCATGTCAAAGACCTCAAACTAACGTTTAGCAACTTAAACGAACGCAAACATGTACGGTTTAAACTGAAATCCTATACCCACGCATTCGCCCAGGTGAATCTTGGGGATTGCTTATTTTAATTAGGACGGAAAAAACTTGTTCTTGTTTGAAATACATTCATGTCTGTTTGGAGTTTTTTCCTCTTCTCTGAAGTAACAAAAAAAAAAAACAAACAAATTCCCGGTGGCCGACATTGTATATAAAACAGGGACTGCGCCAGTGAAAACATGTATTCGTTAAGTAGACGTGTGCTCATCATGTTGACTGGAAGCGTAGTCGTATCGCTACTGATCGTGGTAACCATCTACGGAGTGAACAGTGCACCCTCGGCGACGAAGAACGTTGAAGTCTCTGACCGAGCTAACAGCGACCAGCTATCAGCAGGTGATGATGGTGATGATTGCGATCGAGCGGCACGGGATTACGAATTGAAACAAGTGCACGTGGTGAGTATCTAGTGGTCGCGAGTAATTAGAGGTGAAAATTTGCATGTGCTTGTTTAGTTCATGAATATTTAGTGGACGTACAGTAAGGTGACCGTGTTAATCAATCGATTTAACCTTAGTAAACTAGTGCACTGGGTGTATTGATTGATCGAAGAAAATATATCGCATAATAAGAAAGTTACGTGCATGCCGAAACTTCAGCAGCATCTTTCCGATTAGCTCACGAAACCAGACACAGACGCTGCGTAATCACCGTCCCAAAACAAACTTTATTATCGCTATTAACAGCCAAATGCTGTTAATGTTTGATGATCCCTCTACTAATTAATTAAAGACATGGCCTTTAACAGGCCTGTTGATGAATACGAGCGTTCCTAATGAATTGCAGCATTGTTAAGATAAGCATAGCGTGAAGTGAGAGCGTTCCCGCACGGTGAATGAGAACGACCCAAATTTGAGTTCAGTTCACTCATAATCGCCAAAAGTGCAAGAACTCAGCGATGAGTATATTTGCCCCATGCTTAAAAATCGCAGCCTTAATTTTACGCAGTCTAGGAGTAGAACCAATAGACTGAGTGAATCCAATATTCACTTTTCTAATTCGGGAATTTTTTTCCTGGAAAAACCTGGGAAAACATGAGGCAAATTTACTCATCCCTGAGAACCTGCACTTTATGTGATTTATGAATTAACTAAATTCAAATTTAGGTCGTTCTCATTCGCCGTGCGGGAGTATGGCAAACTTGAAAGATTTTGCCCGAAACGGAAATAAATTCTTATCAAGAATTAGACAAAACACTACGTCTGTGCTGCAGATCTCGCAGATCGTCATAACCTTGCACCTTGGGCGAACTCGTTTGTAGCTAAATTTAAGTGAACTTTGGGCCTCCCAATCCCAAGCCCAAGAGCAGTTCCAGGTCAAATAGCAGAAAAATAAAAATGTCCTGAATCCTGAACGTTAATTTACAATTAATCTGAAATTTTGTACACTTATTTCTTTAGTTGAAGATGCTAATTTCAAATAACAGACTGTAGTGGTAATTTTTATACGATAGATGGAGTAGATGAAAGCATAGAGTTGATAGTTCCGTTAAAGTACGGCAGTGTGAAGATTGTAAATAGATATTAGAGAAGCGAGCTAGGACAACTTTTAAGGAAGGTACAAATCGGTTTTTTCATCTCTCTTTACCAAAACTGCCAGTGGTGGCGGGGGGGGGGGGGGGGGACACCCCTCACCATCCCTCTCCAAAGGGGGAGTTTGGTAAAGAGAGATGAAAAAACCGATTTGTACCTTCCTTAAATGTTGTCCTAGCTCGCTTCTCTAATATCTATATACAATCTTCACACTGCCGTACTCTAACGGAACTATCAACTCTATGCTTTCATCTACTCCATCTATCGTATAAAAATTACCACTACAGTCTGTTATTTGAAATTAGCATCTTCAACTATGTAAATCGTTGACTTCACGTAGAAGTAATACTAAAAACATATAGTCAAAGTACTTATTTCTTTTTAGAAAAAAAATGTCATTTTATGTTATCAATTATTCATATTGGGGCACAACTACTTTTCTAGCAGGGCCTGTGTAAAAACAGTACTAATGAGTTAAAATATAAATAGTGTCGAAACGGTTTGTTCGATTGATATGGTGTCTTAAGCATGCTTGGCAAGTAAGGTTATACACACCAACTGCTCATTTGTTAATAACTTTTCACTCAGTTATTGAAATTTGTTTTTCTTTAAAGTAATTGATAGATTAGGATCATAGTTTACTATAGATATGTAAAGAGTAGGTAAATCTTAACATTTGAATCAACACCAATTTCTCACTTGATTTTTAAAACGCAAAAACAAATACAGTTGATTACTAGAATTAAAATCTGGAGTTGGTTGGAAATGCTATCTAACATGAAACTTTAGTGAGATAATTTATTAACTAGAGAATGGTCTTAGAAGAGGGTGGGTAGATAGTTCCGTTAGAGTACGGCACTATGAAAATTGAATAGAAGTTGAAAATGAGCGAAGGGCCATTAACAGTGCAAGTCAAACGCACACTCTTTGCCTAACCCGTACGATGTACGCAGAGATTTGAAGTATGTCTTCAAATCTACAGGCAAAAAGTGTGCGCTCGACTTTGCTCAAATACTGTCTGCGGCTGTGGAATAGTTCTAGCGACGTTTCATCACTCATCACTTCTATTTAATTTTCATACTACCGTACTCTAACGGAACTATCTACCTACCCTCTTCTAAGACCTAACCTAACGTAACTAATAAATTATCACACTAAAGCATCATGTTAGATAGCCTTTCCAACCTACTCTGAAAATCGCAAACTTGGCAATGTTCCCTGAACTTTTTAGAAGTCCTTTAAGTTTTATGAAGTTTTCAGTAGTTAACAAAAAAGTCCTGGGCTCATGGCCAATTTGAAGAAGTCTTGTTGTGCCATCGATTAAATATCGATATAATATAATTTCTCAAAATTGTTTCTTCTAGTCCAGAACATAAGCAAAGTATTCAACATAAAGGACTTTAAAATATCGTTGTTTGTGGTTCAATTTTATTAATCGCTGTTAAATAGTATCATCGAACGTGACAAGCTTGACACGGTATGAGTCAAAAAAAAAAAACACCAAAAATTATGGAGGGGTCCTGACCCCCTTGGCACCCCCATTAGCTACGCCAATACCCCCCTAAGCTCGGCAATTTCAAAGCGTTCGGCAAAATGGCGTACGGCCAAATCCTAAGTAAAACAAAATGTAGCCCTCCACCCCCTAGTTGGAAACCAGACAACGCCCTTGGTCTTCAGCAAAGTGTTAGTTTTAGTTTTAGAAAAAGTCCCATAAGTACAGATAGATACAGTTTAATCGTAAATCATTGTAGTAAAAGTTTAGGACGAGGTGAATTCAATTTTCCCATAGTAATACTCTTACAAACAGCAAACGGCTAGTGCAGTATGAGTTCGCATCCAAATGAGCTTACGCTGACGCATAGTAACGTTAGAATACCATAAGCAACACTAACGAAATTTCGACAATAGGATTTCTTATGGAAATTATATAGGGTATCCCAAAAAGTATAACCACAAATTACACAAATTAGAGCTTCTTAATATGACATTTCCGTTTTCGTTCTATTGGAATCATCTGACATTTTTGTTGGGATTATACGGAATCTTTCTTGTATGTTGAATGTTCGAGACTTGTGGTCTGGAAAACTTGAAGTGATAGGACATATCAGCCAACATGATGATGATTTGTAGACTCTTCAGGGAATCTTCTTAAGGGCATCAGATAAATCAAAATCAACATTTGACCAATGGTCTTATCCATGTCAATAACGTTGGAGGTTATATCATAGAGGTAACTCTAAGACTAGAAGGTCCCCAAGAAACGTGTTTAACTTTTTGGCTCAGCTCTGGGACTATCTTCGGTTCCAAGCTAATCGATTCACCCTTCGAAACATAGGAAAATCCACTAACCCCTCATTTTATCTGTCAAACTTTCATAGCGAATCAAAATAAACATTGTGTAGTACTTGAATGTCGACTAGAATGGGGTACGTTAATCGTTTGCTTGGGACCAATAGGCTAGTCAAGTAGTGAGCCAATTTAAAATCGTTAGTTTCGTATTGATTGTTGGTTATATTGTTGAGCATCAAAAGACTGAAAGCCACATAACCTCCAACATAGTTCGTAACAGTCGATCCCGCCAAGACATGTCAATGACGTTGCTGATGACAAGAAACTTTGATTTTGTCAACATCATACGTTATTATTAGAAGAAAAAAAACACAATTCAATGGCATCACCTAACGAGTCAATTCTGATCTAAACTGTTCAATATTTGCTTAGTGCTAGCTAACGAGTAAATGTCGAACTATACTGTTTACTATTAAACGGATCTATAATATTTTATCATATAGGAATCTTCTATCTGGCCTCGATCTCAAGTTATCACTAGATGCATAATTTTTGTAGTAAAGATTCTCTCAATGATAGAAATCGGGTCACGATTCTGAGTGATCACTCAAATAATTATTTTGGTGTCACTTAACAAGTAAATTCGCAACTAAAATATTTATTATTTTAATGATCTTATCCAGATAAACAACTTTGCTGAAGGCAAACAATCTGAAAAATAAACGCTCCTTTTTAATCATCAAAGAAGAATTCTACACAACTCTCTCTATCTCTCTCTTACAAGCAAATATCCAATAAAACTGTTATCTGCTGAACGGGTCTCGTCTATTCGTCCTCTTTATTTGTACTCTGGCGCCACCTAGTGAGCACATAACATATGTGGAATTCGATCTTCAAAAATCGACCCCATTTCAGTGATTTCAAGTGATACAGAAGGACATGGATCTGTCAAATTGAATATACTAGCTGTAAAATGAGAAAGGGGATCAAGGGGGTAGTGAATTCTTTTGAAATAATTCTAACGTGGTTTATAATTCTATGTGTTCTTAGCACTCCTGAACTCATGTCTTACTGTTTCATAAATTCGGATTTAAGTGCATACATTTTGAAGTCGAGAGAGAAGCAGCAAAATTTTGCAACAAGTTGTCAGAAGCACCATTTGAAAAATATGCAGTGTTTTGAGCTGACCTTGCATCGATCCATTCGCAAGAATTTTGCAAGCAGGGCGATAAATGAAATCGAGCGCTTATCGATACTAGAGTCGGTGTATAATGAGTCACGCCAAGAGTGAAGCCAAGTCTACCTATTGAACTGTCAAACCGGCTACCTATCGTGCAAAGTAAACAAACATTACGATGCTATGAAAGGTCCACGAAAGGTATTGCAATAAAATATAAAATAAAATTGAAGAAAAGATCATAAACACGCAGTGAGCATTAAATTGTCATGGGATACGTTTGCTAATGATCAGTAATGAGAATTTCTACTATTGTTTGATAAGATGATTTGACAAAATCACTGATATAATGATTCACTACAGCCGTTATTTTTTGTTCTCGCTAGAAGTCATTTGAAGTTGATGTAGAAGTCCTCTGTTGCCAAGTGAAAAGAAAGGGAATCCTTCGAAAATCGTGATGCGAGTTCAACTGTTTTTCTCTTGGCGTGACTCATTATACACCGACTCTAATCGATACCTGTAACACCTAAGATTTCAACACTCCCGATGTTTCTCAATTGTTATCTCTTGAAAGTTTCTTCTCAAATCCCAACACTATTACTTTGTAACAAAAACCGTGGTAAGGTTGATCTTGGTTGATCGAAACGGCAAAGAACAACAAACTTTTTTTCGACCACTATGGTTTATAGTCGCTATGTTCATTATAGCGACTATACTATGGCTAAGGTCCTAGAGTAGGACTCACAGCTAGGTGTATCAAAGTTAAGCACCTTTAAGGTTCAATTTACTTTGATGCATTTTTAAAAAATTCAAAAGCAGTTTTTTTCGACGCATTATTTTAGATTGCAAGAAGCTTGCGTCATTGTGTGTAAAATATCAAAAGGAATCGAATAGTGCAAGCTTTTTGCAATCTGAAATAATGCGTCGGAAAAAACTGCTTTTGAAATTTTTCAAAAAGCATCAAAGTAAATTGAACTTTAAGCACTATTTACAAACGGAAATAATCATTTGGTTCTATTGAAAGTTGTTTTGTTTAGAAAAAAATGCCTTTTTAATCAACAGGATATTTCGTGATGTAATGATAAGTTAACTCACTAAATACACAGCTAACAATATTTCAACATACCACCGACCAAATGGTAGTTCGAAGAGACGAAGAAATATAACATCTGTAAATAGGCAATACTGGATAACAACGCTCTTGATTGGCTTCTGAATGACTTGAAAATACTAGTTAAAAATTTCTTTGAAAAGCCCCCTGTCGAGCTAGTTGAACAAAGAATACCCACACGTCAAACTCCGTCAAGCATTTAAGCAGCGGAGGAACAAAAGAGACAACAAATTATCTGGGCCTCAATTGTTTACATCTCATTGTGCCTTGTCTTGACTATTGACAATTCGCCTTTTCGGTCACTCTGGAAGTCCTTACTCCTATGATAAAATCCCATAAGCAAACATCAGTCTGTGCGTGAAACATGGTGAACATTTCCTTACCCTTTCACTCCTATGAAAATCCCATAAGATTCTGTCAATCTTTGCGTGAATACAAAGTTACAAAGTTCGCTAGATTCCATGCACAGATTGTCAGATGCTTATGGAATTTTACCAGGAGTAAAGAGTTGCAGAGTCGCTGTCAACGTCAATACTTACTGAGCATACAACCATATAATATATTATCTGCGTTTCTTTCGTAAGGGCCAATGCCACAAACGTAAACAATTGCTTTTTGCGTAAATTTCTCGAAAATGAAAATGCACTCAAGTAAACCATCACGATGATTGTGTACAGAAAGAGTCCTCCTATCCGATAAAATTGGTGGCTTACATAGATTGATTTTGACATACGAAAAATTTACGAAAGTAGCCATTATTTATGTTTTCGACATTGGTCCTTATGAACGCTCAGTGTCGATATGACGAAAATTTTATTTTGACAAATCTATGTCCAACTATGCCAGTTATACCAACCGGTGGAAACGAACGATTTAAAATTGGCTCACTACCGAGGGGGACGACTCTATCTACGATGCAGAAAAGATTGTGTTTTGCTGTGGCTAGCTGCACGCACGCTGAGTAGATAAAAGGAAGATTTATGTCGATTTTGAAGATTTCCTGCAAAAAGATGAAGCACGATGCAAGTAGATGCGAGAATTGAAAGATGATTTTTCGAAGATTGATTCGCTAGTGTGAGATTTTTTGAGCATCTAGAATTGAGATTTAGATGTGTCGCCCCCCTCGCTCACTACTTGACTAGCTTATTGGTCCCAACGTATCCCATTCTAGTCGAAATTCTAGTACTATACTATGTTTGTTTTGATTCGCTATGAAAGTTTAACAGATAAAATGAGGGGTTCGTGGATTTTCCTACGTTTCGAGGGGTGCATCGATTAGCTTGGGACCGAAGAGAGTACCAGAGCTGAGCCAAAAAGTTGAGCACTTTTCTTCGGGACCTCCTAGTCTTAGAGTTACCTCTATGGTTATACCAATTAGGCAACATAAAAAAGGGGTCAACTTTGAGTCAGCAATTTTGAATGAAGTTCCACATATGTTATGTATAGTGAGGCAATTCCCAACTTAGCTGTTCACTACTGAAAGGGGCTTGCCCATTAGATCAACTTTGCTGAAAACAGGAAACTTCTATCTGGCCTTGATCCTGAGTTATCACTAGAAAAACTTTATTCTTACTCTGGCGCCACCTAGGTAGTAGATCCAACAATCAATACGAAACTAACGATTTTAAATTGGCTCACCACTTTAGTAGCCTATTGGTCCCAAGCAAACGATTAACGTACCCTATTCTAGTTGAAATTCTATTACTACACTATGTTTGTTTTGATTCGCTATGAAAGTTTGACAGATAACATCAGGGGTGTGTGGATTCATGCAGAACATGCAGGGGTGAGTGAAATAGCTTGGGACTGCTTGGGACCGTTGTTCTGGTACTGAGTGAGCCAAAAATAATAATGATTTTCTTCGGGACCCAGTGGTCTTAGAGTTACCTCTATGGTAGATCCCCAATTGAACTGTTCACTACTGAAAAGGTCTTGTCCATTTGAACAACTTTGCTGATAATTTATCGGAATAAGCTTCGAACTACTAATTTTTATTTATTTCTTGTGTTTATGCTGGAAAAAACATCGGAAGCTGGTGGTGGCTATTTTCACCGTCACAATCCCACTTTTTGATGATCACCATTGATGCCACCTTCTGAGGCTGACTGTAAGTTGCCTCTTAATGAACTCAAATTTTTATTTCATATATGTTCTGGCAACACTGGCCGTTGCCCTCCTCCATCGCTGCAGTGAATTTGGACGATGAGGTAGTAAGTAGTATGACAGATGAAGTGACGGATTGAAGAGAGGAGGATAGATAGATGAATAGAAGATAATCTGTCAAAGAACGGAAGGTAGAAAATCACAAACAATACAGTATCGATTAGAAAGTGCTTAAAAGTGAGTTTTTTTAGTATTCTGTGCTTTGGGCATTTTGTAGAAAGTTTGTGGACAAATTTAGGTCAGTGGAGGTTACAAAACACGGAACGGCAAGCAGACGACTCACAGATAGGTAAAACGAGATAAACACTGTAACAAATGAATTAAATTAAAACACTGAATTTTGTAATAGGCGGAAAGAACATTTCAGAGCGGTCTAGGTAGAAGAAAGGTTGTTTGCAGGAGGAACAATAACTAAAATTGTGAGTACTTCAACTAAAACCACAAACTATAAACACTAACACTATATTAAACGAATTCTTGCAGTTTGATCAACTTTATTTACGGTTGATTTACAAAAAAAACGGTTTTGTTTTTCTTTGATCCGAACAAAATCAAAAATTTTATTTCGAAGCATTTTCGGAATGGCCTTTTTACCTTCCAAGGACGAGAAATGTTTGTTTTGCTCCATGTCAGAGTCGACGTCGGAGGACGTAGATTGGGTCCAATGCGGAAAGTGTGAAAATTGGGCTCATTTTTCTTGCGCGGGTGTTGACCAGGAGGTAGCGAAATCCAATTGGTATTGCCCACAGTGTGTCCCAACGAGTGTTCAGCAGTTGAAGATTCCAGACGCAGGAGGCAAGAAGCGAGGTAGCAAGAAGTCCGGCCAAAAGAGCGATGGAGGGTCTGATCAGGGAGCTGGTTCCGATGTTGATCCAGTTGAAAAGCAGTTGGAAGAGGAACAGTTAGCCAAGGAGAAGGCCTTTGCGAAGCAAATGGAAGTGCGGAAGAAGTTACTCGCTCGGCAGAAGGCGTGGAACGAAGAAAAGCTGAAGCAGGAACGGGAGATGCTTGAACTGGAATCCCAGGCCCGGCGAGAAATAGAGATGCAGCAGTTGGACTACGAGCAGAGAATGTTGCAGGCTCAACTGGCTGCGGAGCAGAAGTTTTTGAAGGAACGGGAGGCAATCCGGCTGCAGGTCAACAGCAGCATCAATAGAATTAAAGCGCTGAAGGATCAATATGGCGCTGTTGGTGGATCTTCAAAGGACGGTCCGGAGCAGAAAAGGCAGCCGGAGCAGAAAGGGCAGCTGGAGTTGCAGAAACAGAAGAAGATAGCCGAAAAGCCAGCGGGTACGGATTCTCGAGGAGCGTACCCGAAAAGGGAGGACCGACATGGAATGGAGTCGGGTTCTAGAAAAACCGATAAGCAGAAGAAGATGAAGAAGGTGCCTGCTAAAGATCGGGAGGCCGAATCAAGTGATGAGGGCCAAATCCGCGACTCGTCGGAAGACCGTGCGAGCAGCGACTATTCAGAAGATTGTGGAAGCAGCGACTCGTCGGAAGATCGTGCGAGCAGCAAGCGACCTGGCAGTGTGCGTGGTAACGGAGCTGGTGACGGGTCGGGGCGAACCGGCGGTCGAATCTCGAGGGATCAGCTGGCCGCTAGAAAAGCGATTTCGCATCACCTTCCAAAATTTCGTGGAGAACCGGAAGTTTGGCCGCTGTTTATTAGCAGCTTCGAATATACGACGGAAGCATGTGGGTTCTCAAACCTGGAGAACTTGAAGCGACTGCAGGACTGTTTGCAAGGTGACGCGCTCGAAGCAGTGAGGAGTCGGCTCGTTCTGCCGAATTCCGTTCCGAACGTGATTTGTGACCTACGGAATCTATTCGGAAGGCCGGAGAAGCTGCTGAAGTCGCTGCTGACGAAAGTGAGGAACGCTCCAGCGCCGAGAGCTGATCGACTGGAGATGTTCGTTAAATTTGGGATTACGGTGAAGCAGTTGTGCGACCATCTTGAGGCTGCGCGACTCAACGATCATCTTAATAACCCGATGCTGGTACAGGAGTTGGTTGACAAGTTACCACCGAGTTACAAACTGGATTGGGTGCGGTACAAGCGAGGAAAGGAAGATAGTCCGCTGAGGATGTTCACGGATTTCATGACTGAAATAGTATCCGACGTGTCCGAGGTGACGGAGTTTTCTACGCTGTCGGTGAACGAGCGAGCGTCGCATGGGCGAGAGAATCCTAGAAAGAAGGAGTTTGTGCATGTGCACGACTCTGAGCAGAAGCAGAGCGAAGAACTACGCAGAGAGGTGGTCAGCCGTCCTTGCTGGATTTGTAAACGGACGGATCACATGATCAAGAGCTGCGAAGAGTTCAAGCAGATGAACATTGCGCAACGACTAAGGGAAGTGGACAAGCAGAAACTGTGTGGAGTCTGTCTTAACAAGCACGGTGGAAATCGTTGTTTTTCGAAAATCCGGTGTATGGCGCGGAACTGCCAAGGCAATCACCATCCTCTATTGCATCGGGTGGAAGAATCTGTTCAATTGCAGAAAGCCAAATCAGACTGCACGGTGATTTTCCGGATGATGTCGGTGACGCTATATGTCGGTAAGCGACAGTACGACACTGTTGCATTTCTGGACGAAGGGTCGTCTGCTACGTTGGTGGACGATGGGGTGGCCAAACGGCTGAAGGCAGAAGGAACGCTTGAACCACTGATAGTCACGTGGACCGGAAACATCAACCGTTTTGAGAACGAATCGCGTAGTGTAGAGATGATGATGTCGGCGAAGGGCTCCAAGGAGAAGTTTTCGTTGTTCAACACACGAACGGTGTCCGAGTTGCAGTTGCCACAACAGAATGTACGATACGCTGAGATGGTGAACCGTTATCCGCATCTTGTTGGAGTGCCGGTGAGAGATTTTCCGTCTGGACTTCCAACGATTCTAATCGGATTGGACAATCTCCATCTGTTCGCGCCGTTGGAGTCACGGGTCGGGGAACCGAACGAACCAATCGCTGTGCGGTCGAAAATCGGATGGACGATTTACGGATCGGAGAAACGGAAGCCGCGTGTCCATACTTACCTGAATCTGCATTGTGTCACACCAGTGAGTAACCAGGAACTGCATGACATGATCCGAAATCAGTACGTGCTGGATGAAACTGCAGCAGCATCATACGCACCCCCAGAACCAATTGAGGAGAAAAGGGCTCGCGAGATCCTTCAAGCGACGACAAAAAGGGTAGGTAATCGTTTCGAAACGGGCCTATTGTGGCGTGAAGATGAACGGCGATTTCCGGACAGCTACCCGATGGCCGTTCGAAGGATGCGAGCGCTTGAGCGAAAGCTTGGGAAAGATCCTGCGTTGAAACAGAAGGTATGTCAGCAGATTGAGGACTATCAGACCAAGGGCTATGCACACAAGATAACTGCAGAAGAACTAGCAGATACTCCAAGCTCGGTGGTGTGGTATCTTCCGTTGAATGTGGTGCTAAATCCGAAGAAACCTGGTAAAGTGCGCATGGTGTGGGATGCGGCTGCATCAGTTGGAGGAGTGTCGTTGAACTCGGAATTGGTGAAAGGTCCGGACATGTTGGTTCCCCTTCCGAAAGTTGTTTGCTGTTTCCGGGAAGGTCGAATTGCATTCGGAGGCGACATTCAGGAAATGTACCACCAGATGAATATTCGGTGTGAAGACAAGCAAGCACTACGATTTCTGTTCGGGACGGATGAAAGTGGAGCACCTCAAGGATACGTGATGGACGTGGCAACGTTCGGCGCCACGTGTTCGCCTTGCTCCGCCCAATATGTAAAAAATCTGAACGCGGGACAGTTCGCAGAGCAGTATCCAGAAGCAGCGGCAGCGATCATTAAGAAACATTATGTGGACGATTACTATGACAGCGTAGATACCGTCGAAGAAGCGATACGAAGGGCCAAGGAGGTGAAGTACATCCACTCGCAGGGTGGATTCCATATACGAAACTGGGTGTCTAACTCGGAGGCATTCCTAGAGGAACTCGAAGATCGCAGTGCAAATGGAGCAGTTCATTTTTCCCAGGATAAAGACGCCGAGTATGAGCATGTGCTGGGCATAGTTTGGAAGCCGATGGAAGACGTATTCTGTTTCGCAACTATGTCGAAAGCGGAATCCTTTATGGTTATCGGTGGCGAAGAGTATCCTACGAAGCGGATTATCCTCAGTTACGTGATGGCGCAATTCGACCCAGTGGGATTCCTCACTCCGGTTACTATACTTGGAAAAATGCTGATCCAAGATCTCTGGCGGACCGGCTGTGATTGGGATACGAAAATCAATCAGATTTCCTTCGAAAAATGGCGGCGATGGATACAAATGATGAAGAACATCGGATCGTTCCAGCTACCGCGGAGTTATTTCGGAAATGCCAGATCAGATGAAGTTACGGACATACAGCTGCATGTATTCGCTGATGCAGGCGAGGCGGCGTACGGAAGCGTGGCGTATTTTCGGGCAACTGTACGAGGTAAAGTGCAGTGTGCGCTGGTCATGAGTCGTGCCAAAGTGGCACCGTTAAAACAGATCTCAATACCGCGACTGGAGCTTCTAGCGGCCGTTTTAGGAGCACGTCTATCACGAATGGTGTTCGAGAGTCATAGCTTTACAATTGACCGGGTGGTGTATTGGATCGACGCAAACGTAGTGCTCTCATGGATTCGATCTGACCAGCGAAGGTATAAACAGTTCGTCGGGTTTCGGATCGGCGAGATACTCAGCCTAACGAAGTTGACGGACTGGCGTTGGGTGCCGTCAAGACTAAACGTGGCAGACCAACTAACGAAGTGGGGCAAGGAACCCGAAATGCATACTGACAGCACGTGGGCGCGAGGACCAGCGTTTTTGTACAAGAGTGAGCAGGAGTGGCCAGAAAAGGAAATGCCACCAGCGAACACGATGGAGGAGCTCCGGATTCACCTCCTATTACATGACGTGAAGGTGCCTGCGGTTTTTGTGGACGTAAACCGTTTCTCGAAGTGGACAGTGTTGGTCCGAACGATGGCGTGCGTGTTCCGTTTCGTGTCGAACTGTAAGCGAAGGATTGAAAAGCTGCCGATTGAGACGCTAAGAGCGACAAGCGGACAAAAGAAAGCACGGAAGTCGAGAACCATTGCATCGGTCAGAGTTCCGTTGCAGCAAAAGGAGTACGAGAAAGCGGAGCAGTGTCTGCTGAAAGTGGCGCAGTCGGAGAGCTTCATCGACGAACTGAAAGTGTTAACGAGAAACAAGGATCGTCCGGTGAGCCAGTGGATGACTATCGAAAAGTCTAGTCCGCTATACAAGCTGACTCCGCTGATCGACGAGAATGGACTGATCCGGATGGAGGGTAGAGTGGAGCGAGCGGAATTTCTGCCATTCGATCTGCGATTTCCGGTGATTCTGCCGGATGACCATCGGATCACGAGGCTGATAGTTCAGCACTACCATGAGAAGAGTGCCCACGGGTACCGTCAAGCAGTGAAGAACGAGTTGCGGCAGATGTATTACATCCCGCACATAGATGCAGTAGTCAGGAAGGTATCAGCGTCCTGCGTATGGTGCAAGGTGAATCGTTG